TATTATTTGGTAAACCATAGGATTCGTTAGACAAAAACTGGCCATTTCGAACTCATTTAACCGAAACGCTACTATAATAAAATAATAATTAGATAAATGCCGACCGAGAAAGTACAAATATTGAAGTGGTACTTACATGAGACCAATCTGGGCAAGAAAAAATACATTTATTTATAAGGAAAGTTATTTGAGCGACACCAGAAGCTATCAATGTTTAGAATTAATGTTCCCCAGTCGAATGCTATTTAATTTTGGAAAACCCTGTGTTATTTCCAGTCTTTAATGCATAAAATATATTTTCCCGAATCTAACTCGAAAAATATCGAATCAGATAAATTTAAAATAATTTTTTAAAACTCTAACTGAACCCTATGGTTTAAAAAGTTAATAAATGTAAGGATTTCAAGTACAAAATCTACTAAGAAAATATCTCAAAACAGAATGTCTACCATTTATATTTACATCATAGAGTCGCGATAAAAGAAAAACGTAAAATATGTAGAAAATAATGGAGAATTCTCCTATTAGAATGAGGAAATATATAAATAATGGAAAATGTCGAAAATATATGACAAATAAGACCCAAAATTGAGAAAAGTTTATGTTTTGTTGCTACTTTGACATGTGGCATCAATTATTGCTCGGAAATTGCTTCAAACCTTTTTTTTTAGTTAAGAGAAGAAAAATATTTCAGAATAGGTTGGACCATTCTCGTATCTGTTATAAGTTATGAGTGTGGTTATGATCTGCACAAACAGTGTTTTTTTGTTTTTACTACACCCTATTGCTTTCAACCACAATTTTCCCTCATTCAAGTATGTGGACGCAAATATAGAGGACTAAGTTATAATACAGGGTGTCCCAACGAAAAGTAGCCCGCCCGTTTCCAGAGCTTATAACTTTTAAGCGCCTAATCGTAGAAACGTGCGGTTTTCGCTGATATATTATTTTGCTATAAGTTTTTAGTGACACAGAAATTGTGTATTACTTATACAGGGTGTTTTTTAAAATCTTCTCTTTTAAATTCACCGTAACCAAATTGTATCAAATGGAACACCCTGTACTAAAATACCATGTACAAATTATACATTTTTGAAAAGTAGAAGAGTGTATCTTTCAGATGACCCAAACATATACAGGGTGTTCCATTTAATAAACTTTGGTTACGGTGAATTTAAAAGAGATTTTAAAAAACACCCTGTATAGGTAATACATAATTTCTGTTTCACTTATAGCAAAATAACACATATCAGCAAAAACCGCACGTTGAGATGGAGATTATGGAAATTATCAGTAAAAGAGGCCAAAAATTATTAATTAAGGTCTATTTATATAAAGTGTAAAAAAAAATAAGGAGGAATGTTGGAGCTGCACAAAAAGGGATTGTTGCAATGTGAAATTATATGTATTAGGGAGGAACATTTTTAAGACTAACAGCCGGTTGCAAGAACGATTGTTAAAATCTCTCGTTAGCTAATGCACCCATAACTTTATTCGCTCCCTACATTATCTTCTAAATGGTAAATTTGGCAACGGCGCTTTTCCAAATGACAGTATGAAGTAAATATACGATATTCGAGTTACGTCCCTATCAAGAGTTATCTGTCTACTCATTTAATAATACACACGGCAGGTAAGACGAACGATATGTTTTCGCAATGAGCTCAAAATTTGCCATAAGGAACGTCGCTTCGCGTTACAGCACCTGCAAAGAAAGTCAAATGCGCCAAGAGCCGAAACTAGACGAACTTAAACATCGGTTTTAACAAGAGAATCGTTTACAAAATATATTTGAAAATACGCAAAGAAAACGAATTTTAAGAAGATTTAACAATTTGAACATATGGATTCTACGAAACAAAGGATTATTCACAAATAGTAAGTACTTTAATTATAAGAAATCATATTTATTTATTTATTTACAAATGTATGTTCTTGTAGCAAAACCTAATATGCAGTGATAGTTATAAGGACTTTATTATTAATGAAAATAACAAATTTTGGGAAACAAAAAGGAACAACATGCCAGAATATAAAATTATATTAATAATTTATAAATTAATAACAAAAAAGAAGGCACATTAAAAATAAAATAAAAATTAAAAAGTTAATGGTGTTTTATTTTTTTATTATTAATAAATAAAAGCTAAAATTCCTGAGCAACATTTATTTTCATTACCTATTTAGGTATTAAATTATGAGGGTTTAAATGTGGTCATTTTCGTAAACAAAAATAAATATCGGTAGGTAAGTACTAAAAGTGGATACCACAAAATGTTTTTTACTGTTTAAAATGTTTTGGCCCAAGGGGTGTCTTCAGGACTGAATGCAGCTATTATGTATGAAACTTTTTTATTAAAAAGAGGATAAAGTTATCCAAAAGTGTGATATCTTCAAGATGAGATAAAGGGCAGATTGCCAGAGCAGATGAAAAGTTTTCTTTTATAAGTCGAGTATGATCTGTTACTGCTTGTTGGAGAAGATGTATTTAGGCTAATTATATTTAACTTTATCAAGAAAGGGAAGGAACAAGTACCTAAGTGGCTTCTGACTAGGAAGAAAACGATAGGGTAATAACTGAGATTGTGGTACCTGCGAAAAAGGTGAGAAACAAAAATCGCCCTCCGTAAACCAGTTGTTTTTATATCCCAAGAGACTAAATTAATACCAGTTGGCTAAAAGTAACATTAATAACTTCAGTACAATGTCGCTAAGATATTTAATAAAACTAATAGGAACTTAAGGATCTAAAGATGTCATAAAAGTTACTAAAAATCGGCTATTTTCAGTATTACATTTTGTGTTCTACTAGGTCACGTGGGATACAGATATAGGTTAAGGCTCGTTACTATTCTAAAAAGCAAAATGCGGTTTGATATTGACCTCAAAACAGCTTCCTGTATATTCCTTTTATGATTTTGTCACCATTTTGAAAACTCTGATGTGTAGAATTTTTTTTCTCTGCAATAATTTTTTTCTAACTTATACATTTTAAGAAAAACCTAGCTAAATTTACAAAATTTAGGGTATGCAAGAAGATTAATTAGTTATGGCCTAAAAAATTATTGAAAACATATTTATTTATTTATTGGACCGTTAACTAAAGGCTCGTTAATGTTTGATTAAAAAACCAGTTGAATAAATATTGTAGACACCTGCTATCTTTTAAAAATTTAAATTGAAAACTTATAGTCGAAGTTTTTTATATTAATATATATTAATATTTATTATAAATATATGCATTTTTATACAATATTTTGAATTTAATATCAAGGTAGGAAGCAGAGATAAAATAATATGCATATTATTTTATCTATGGTTGGTAGGTACAAAACAATGTATCCACATTTTGACAACTAAATCCGTTGATTTTCTAAACCTAATTATTGTTAACCTTATGTTTTATGCAACTGGTACTGGAACGTTGTTTTTACTCGAAATCACTACAAATTTTCTCTAAAATTCCGAAATCATTATCGAAAATGATGGTCGAAACCATCGCCGAAATCACTTCAAAATCAATTCATCGCTCAAAAAAGTAAATGCAGCAGCAAAAGACAAGAGAATAATCCAAAAAAAAGGTCATCGTATAAAATTATGGTGGATTTTCTGCAAAATCACATAAACATTTTTTAGGTGATTTCTGCAATAAGGGTACGTTTTGACCTTAAGTGATTTTCCCCTCGCATTACCTCAATAAAGAGAAACGAAAACAAATATCTATGGATGTTTTTTCTTCTTCAAATTTTAATAAACATATAACAATATTAACAACAGACTGCTACGGAAGATACGTAATTATTCTCAGGGCTTGCCATGATTTTTCTACCGAAATATGCAAAGTTCTATATAATGTATTCGTACGATCTAAAATTGAATATGCCTGTATTATTTGGTCACCCAAAACAATTCTTCATAATGATACCTTGGAAAAAGTATACAAGCGTTTTGTCAGAACTCTACACATGAAAAAATATCCCAATTGACTTTTATAACAAACATTATATATGGAAATTTTAATTAACCCGAATTACTAACCTCCATCAATTTGAGCGTACCAGATATTCGCCTTAGACAAAGGTAGACATTATTTTCCAACCATAATTTATTCTCACCTCTTGATAACTATCTTCAAATACTAGATCAGTTTCTGATTAACAGTAACATTGACCTTTTTAATGTCTTTCAACAAATTGAAATTAATATTAGGTAAACATACATTTTAACAAAAACTATTCTTAATCAAAATAGCTTGTATAACTTTTAATATTACATATATTTTATATTAATTGTAACTTTCTTTAAATTTATTTTTAGTTTTAGTAATTATTCTGTTATATGTAAATAGATTGCATTCTGTTTGTTTTTCAGTATAAATAAATAACATAGTATAATAACTGGTCCACATATCAAACTAGAAACAAAACGTTTTAAAATTTAAAGAATTGGGTATGAATTAAAATATTATATGAATTAATATCTATCAATTACCGATATATATAAAAAAAATGATGGGAATTCCATATTTTAGAAAACAATAACAAAACTAATTGGAGAAAATCTCATTTTGATATAAAAACAATACAAATATTGAAATTAAAAATTGTTAGATGCATTTAAATTATTAGAGAGTTGAAAATAATATACAAAATAAATTTGAACAATTATCACATTACTCACCAGCGGCGCCTCGGGCCGAACCTAGGAGGGACTGCGCCGTTTCCATTTGCCTGTTTGGTTTCAAGCACCATATAAGCGCAAACTTATTTCTAATACCAAAATAAATAGATATATAGATTCCCCCCTGTACCCTAGCATCAGTATTTTTTATGTTATATCCACAAGCCAATGTATATCTCAAAACCAACATATTATTTAAAAAAATAATAATAAATTAAAAAGTCTAATAAATAAAAACTGACAGCAGTGTTAAAAAAAAAAAATAATATGTTGATTTAAATAATTTTGACTACTTAGGTAAACATATTGTTTCTACTTACTTTCATGATTTCCCTGAACTTTCCAATTTCCCTCGTTATCAAGTCTCTCTTTTCCTCCTCAACCTCGGCTTCAGCTAAAACTTTATTCCATTTTTCAATTACTTCCTCTGAGAAATAATATAATTTAATGAAATAATATACAAACCATTGAAATATGTACCTTCTTTTTTCGCTTCGAAATTGCTCATCTCTTCCTCATAGTCTTTGATTATTTGCTTAATTCGCTCCAAGGCGGTCGCGTCTATGATTTGGGTCTCCTCGTCAAGTTCTTCCTCTTCGGGTTCATCCTGGAGCGGGGAAGTCGTACCCTTTTGTTTTTTCCTCCTCTCAGCTTAAAAATAACGTCATCATAAAAAATTCGCACGGAAACATCCGCAAACTCCTCGACTGTACGATATTTCACAAAAAAAATTACACAGCCCTTCTAAAGACATTATAATTAGACGTAATTAATAATTCGTTTACATAAAAATTTATAACGGTCTTTAGTTTACTAAGAAAATCCTCATTATTTATCAGTTTAGAAAAAAAATGGACTATTATTATGAGTTATTATTCGCGCTCATAAGCAGCCAATATATGATGATTATATTTAAAAATGTTTACGTTTTATTTGCACCTAGATGCAAGCATCTGTATGTACAATACAAATAAAACAAAATTATAATTACATAATAAGAAGTTATAAAGTTATTTTTTACTAGCAAAGAAAACTTACATACAAGGTGAGTAAAATACGATTTCAAATTAAAATTAAGGTCATTTTGCTATATAAATTAATGTCTGAAACTTTGAAATAAGAGATATAAAGCAATTCAAAGGGAAATGGAAGTTTTTCAGTCCTAACTTCTAACTGGAGCAAACTATCAACTCCAAATTTCTTACAGAACTTAAAAGTTTTATATCATTTGATTTAATGGTAAAACCAATTTGTTTAGATTGTACAAATCTGTCAGCCTCGGAAATAAGGTGCCTTCCTATTGTAGGACGACTATTCAAATTTTTGTGTATCAAATGTCGAAGTTATGATTTAGTTGATATTCTAAATAACCATATCAAAGATAAGGACCAAATAATAAAGGACAAAGAAGATATCATCGAACTATTGAAGGCTAACATTAATGATTATGAAAAATCACCTATTCAACAACGCGCTTCTTATGCCCAAGTAACAAAGGGTTCTGTGCAAACACATCAAATAAACTATCCACAAATTATAATACCTAAAAATTACCAAAAAACCAAGGATGATGTTGAAAAAAATATTAAACCTGAAGCATTGAAAGTTGGAGTCAAGAGTATGAAAACTCTTAATTCAGGTGCATTAATTATTAAATGTTGTAATAAACAAGAAATTAATGTTTTAGAAGAAAGTGTCAAAAATAAGCTGGGTCATAACTATGATGTGGAACTTAGTAAGATGAGGAAACCGAAAATAAAAATAGCTAATTTTAACCAAGATAAGAGCAACGAGGACATCAAGAATTGCATTATAAATCAAAATAACCTAGATAAGAAAATAGAAGTTGTATTTATAAAAAAAACTGCACACTGGAAACAAAACAATTATTTGTGAATGTAGTCCAAAAGTTTTTAAGCAAATAATGCAAGAAGGTATTATTGGTTGGGAAAGATACACAATGTATGAGGACCTTGACATACCAAAATGCTATCAATGTCAAGGATATTACCACAATAAACAAAATTGTACAAACAAAAATTGTCTATTCTCTTTGTGCTGAAAAACACCTAAGAGAAAACTATCCTAAAACTAAAGTGTGTTGTGCTAATTGTTTAAGAATTCAAATATTAATTTTAAATCCAACTGATCACTACACCACTGATTCAGAGTGTAGTACTCTGAAATATTTCAAACAGGTTCTTAAAAATAAAACAACCTATTGTGAAAATTAATTTCTTATCTTTGCTTTCTTTTTTGTTTTAATTTAATCTCAACATTATAATAGTTTTTACTAATTTACCACAATTTAAATAATCTTTCTCTCTTTTATGGATATAGCAGAACTAAATATTTTTAATGAGATTGAAAATGAAGAAAATGAGATTGAATTAAATAAAAATTCTCGTTATGACTTAGACAATTTTTTAAATATTATCAGTTGCAATAATCATTTAAACAACCTTAATAAAAATTTTGCATTTGAATATTAGAAGTATAAAAAAAAATTTTGATAACTTTTTAGTATTTTTAGAAACTTTTGGTTTAAAGAACTTTGATATAATAATATTAGGAGAAACAGGTAATGTTATTGAATTTAATAATTTAATTACACCTGGTTTTATCAATATATTTAATGAAAGTGTGAATAATCAATGTGATGGTGTAGTTATATATATTAAAAACAACATTCAGTTTGAAATAGAACATACAAAGTTGCCTCTATCAAATGTAACGATAAGCTCAATAACATTTAGTCATAATGGTGTGCCCTATACAGTAATGCCTTGTTATAAATCTCCATCCATATCAGATGATACATACAGATTTTGAAAATTTCTTAAATAATATACCAAGAAGGCTAGGAATGGATATATTTATTTGTGACAAATATTAATATCCTTGATTCCTCAAACCAAATAACAAATAGATATTTGGCAATGTTATCTTCCTTGGGATTTGTATCATATATTAATTCATACACCAGGGTTACTGTAGAAACAAAATAATGTATTGATCATATTAAAAAAAAAAAATAATATGCCAAATAAAATGTTTTCATTTAAATCGTTGGTAATTGACACTGATCTAACCGATCATTTTCCAATTTTTTTAAATTTTACAACAAACAAAAAAAAAAAACTCTAACCATAATTCATTAAACCAACATACAACACAATACATAATATTCTTTTAATTAACTGATATTTATTTGCGTTTTGTATGGTCAAAGTTTCGATATCTTTTTAATTAAGTGTAGGTATTTTGATTGTGTTTGTCTCCTATATAAAATATTATTATCTAAAATGTATATATATTTTTTTTTTACTGTAATGCATTAATTTTATTTTATATGTATAAATTTGTTTATTTTTTATATTTATATTTGTTCTCAAAACAAGTGCCTTATTGGCACTTATTGAGTATCAATATTTATTTATTTGAAATTGTTGTTCTGTTACCTTACCTTGTAACTTGTGTTATTTCTTGAATAAATATTATTATTATTATTATTATTATTATTATACACCGATATAGATAGATTTACAAAATTATTAGAAAATGTAAACTGGGACGTCATTTCTCTTAGCAATCCAATTTTGGCCTACCAGAAATTTATTGAAATAATATATTCCCTAAAAGAACAATGTAATATAACTAGTGGGCATAATACTTATAAATAAATAAAACCATGGATAAGTCAAGGCATCATCATGTCTATTAAACATAGGGATAAAACGAAAAATCAAATATTAAAAACCAAAAACAATAATCTTCTAAGAGAACATAGGATATATCCTAACCAACTAAATAAAGTAATAAATAAAGCTAAAAATGATTATTATATAATTCAAATTCAAAATAGTAACAATGATATTAAAAAAATATTCAAAATAGTTAAAGAAGCTTCAAATGAACACCGAAACAATAAAACAAACAATGATTTTAATATTCTAAACAATAATAAACAATTTACAAATGACAAAGAAATGGCCAACTACTGCAATAACTATTTTTCAAAAATTGGTATAGATATGGCAACTAAAATCAATTCTGTAGATGACTTCCTAATAAGATATCCACCTCTAATCAACTCAATGGCAATAAATCCTGTCAATAAAAATGAATTAATAGAACATATAAATTCGTTAAAAAATAACAGTGCTCCTGGGATTGACGGAAATACATCTAGAATGTTGAAAAATGGTCACTGATACATAATAGAGCCTCTAATGCACATTATAAACCTAATCTTTACAACAGGTAAGATACCAGAATTACTTAAAATATCAATTATAAATCCTGTTTTTAAAAACGGATCCAAAAAAGATGTGTCAAATTACAGACCAATAAGTATGATTACAAATTTTGCAAAAATTTTTAAAAAATGTTTAAAAAAAATATTATATGAATATCTAATTGATAAAAAGATTTTAAATGTTAGACAGTTCGGGTTCCAAAAAGGTGTTAGCACTTGTGATGCCATGTATGAATTGATAGTGTTTTTATCGACCTCGCGAAAGCTTTTGACACTGTTCCTCACAACAACTAAATGTTCTTGAACATTATGGCATTCAATGATTGGTTTTAAAAATTTTTGAAAACTACTTACAGGAAAGAACACAGATAGTTCAAATTAGAAATGAATTTAGTAATCCTGTTAAAATTCAAATAAGTGTGCCACAAGGAACTGTCCTTGGTCCAATTCTTTTTATCATCTATATCAACTCTCTTTTAAACTTATGGTATAGCAATATCCTATGCAGATGACACCGTATTAATGTTTGAATGTAAAACCTGGGAGGCTGTAAAACCAAAAGTGGTCAAAGGAGTAAGAATTATGAAAGACTGGTTGGATTATAATAAACTATCTTTAAATATATCGAAAACAGTATATATGGCATTCTCACTCACAGATGCTAACAGGCCTAGCTTCAAACAGATTTGTATTGAAGAATCCAAATTCATCATCAAAGAAGTGGAAAATGACAAATATTTGGGAATAATAGTTGACAAAAATCTTAAATGGACTGATCATGTTCAGTACTTAACAAACAAAATAAGAAAACTTATATTGCTCTCATTAAATCCTTAATTAGATATGGCATAATTGTATGGGATGGTTTATATGACAATACCCTACATCCTTTAAGTATCATTCAAAATTATATCTTAAAGATAATAAATCATAAAAGTCGTTTGTTTTCAACAACCCTCTTATACAACGATTCTACTCCAAACATAAGATCACTATACTTTCACTCTAGCTGTATGTTCTATTTCAAACTGAAAAATAAAAATTTTGTAAACCACTCTTATATGACCCAAAAACAAAAGAGAAGAATGCTAAATGTACAATTCTTTAAATATGATGGAAATAAAAGATTCATTTCTTTAATTGTGCCAAAAGTATACAACTCTTTAAGTGAAAATATCAGACAAATAAAAAACATAAAAACCTTTTCTAAAGCGATCAGAAAATGTATATTTGATAAATATTTATACCTCTCAAATTTGTTATAAATACCTATAGTCTTATATATTTATGTCCTTTTAATCATCAAATGTTTAGTTTATAGGTATTGTTCATTTTATGTAGTTTTAATCTATTTCTCTGGCACATACAGATGTTTTTGCATCTAGGTGCATATTTTAAGAATAATTTCTCATTGTAAATTTATTTGATTTTGTATCAAAAAATGTTTATTCTTCTTCTTAAATAAAATTAAAAAATAAAACTATATCAAACTAATTTAATTAAGAGTATTAAAACTAAAATTCTAAAAGTGGCAGTGGATGTGAGGAGAGAGCATCTGCCTTTTACGAGAAAAGCCTGGGGACTAATTAAATTGAAATCTTTTTTTTTTCATGTTTATTTTATTTTACAAATTAGTAAAAGTCACAAAATATTTTAAAATTAGTTATTGTGTCTTAATAACATAAAATAATCTATTAAATTTGTAGATTTTGGTTAGTGGGCCATAGAAAAAAAAATATGAAATAATCAAAATAGTTCAATACAAATATTTTTAGAGGTAAAAATTGAAAATTTAAAGAAATTCATAAAAATTAATAATGAACTGTTTTTTTATAATGCCTAGAAGGGTTGTGCCAAATTTTCTGTAAATTTGGTTAATTCTGCTGTCAGTGTATTACCAAAATCATTTTTGGTGCCCAAGCTATAAAGTTTAAAAATAAATTAACCCAAATTGTATGCATGTTGTCCTTATCAACAAACCAGCAATTAAAATTATACTTCAATTGATTTTATTAAAGAATAAATAAATATAAATTTATAAGTAGGCTACATTAATTATTCAAAATAATTCATAATTAGTCATGGATATTAAATTTAATGCTGAAACTCTTACCGGTTCAAACATGTGTCCTAAAATATGTTATAAAACTTACACTAACTAAAAATTATAATTGAATACTTTACCTTTGTATTCATCTAAAACAATTTTAGTTTTAGCATCAACCTTAGCTACTAGGCGTTTATCTCCTATCATCAGGTCATGCAAAAGCCTCACTGCCCTCAAACCAGCATCAGGACCTGCCAGTTCACAAAAACCAAAAGCTTTTACTTTTTTCCAACTTATCACTGGACCACATGTACCTAATATCTGTCTTATCATAGCGTCGGGAGCTTTTTCAGTAATATTTCCTGAAATTCAATTGGAAAAACATAAATGTGTATGAGTATTTTCATTTTAATGAACTCACCGACAAATACAGTGACAGCTGGTCCCTGTACCTGTTTTGGCTGATCCCTGTTGGGATTTAATTTTGGAAAAGCCCTAATTTGAGGTGCGCTAGAAACTTGGATAGGTACCATCTAAAAAATTACGTTTAACTACGAGTTCTAAAAATACATTAATTGAACATTTCTTACATGTTGTATGGGCATTACGGCTGGCATTAATGGAGCCGTAGGGGCTCCCATTTGCATATAAGCCATCGGAAGCCCTTGCATCATTGGTGGGCGGCCTGGATACGACATGCTTCTAAATTAAATATTAATCTCAATTAAGGACCCCCTAAAGCTATTAAATACACTATATTCACAGAATCAATTATCATACAATAAATATCACCGAATTAAAAATGTCACTAAACTAGTTTCTATTCATCACTGTGGTAAGATGTTCTTAAATTTGTCAAAAAGCGAACGGCTTTAGATCAAGAGCTTCCATTTTATTCTTGCATCTTCATCAAAAGCGTATTCGTTTTTCTCGAAACCACCATTGACAAATTTTTGACGGCGGTCATTTGTCATAATGTGACAATTGGCGTGTTCCGAAATTTGTATTTTATCACCAGGAGTGCGTTTAGAAACCTCGCACGGCGCGTCTGACCACATACAGACGTGCCTTTCGACGATTTTTCAAATCGTAATATTGGGTCCTATGATTGAACGTTTATGTTATCCATAACGTACATGTTAAGTCGAATTTTAACAGTAATAAAGCAAGTTTGTATGATAGAAAACTGTTAAATTAGAACATAACAGGCGGAAAATAACAGTAATGTGTTGAAAACCGTTTTTCATCATACGAACTTGCCTAATTACTGTTAAAACTGAGCCTAACATGTACGTTACGGATAACGTAAACGTTCAATCATAGGACCCATTAGGTATTCCAAACATCTATGATCTATGTTCCAAACTGAATGGCTACCAGTGGGTTTTGACACGTTATGATACAGCAAAATTATGGCAACCCTGTAGGCCTGGTGATTTGACAAGGTCAATGAAATAGATAGTTACATAGATTGATCATCCATATTTTTCAAAACATAAACTTATGCCTTGAAGTAAAAATGTAAGCAATTATTTTTTTTTTTTTTAATATCTAAAGGATGAAAATTGGTTTTAAAACACATTTTTGCTAAACCGATTTAAATTAATAAATATTTGCCAGGCAATATGGCCGCTCGCAAACGACCAGCTTTGAGCAATCTATATAACTATTTAGGTATCACTGACCCTGTTAATGACAACAGGGTTGCCATATCTAAACTGTCAGTCACCACTGGTAGCCATTTGGACAGGTCGTTGGAATGCCTAATTACAAAAAAAAATTCTCATATGGATCCAACTTTATGGAACACACTGTATAAGAATTTTAATGCACCTGATTTTTATTTTAATGGGTACTCTTATGACAAAAAATGTTAATTTATGTGGTTGAAGCTACTTTCATGATAAATAATTATTATGAAGATAAACAACACCACTCTAGATTAACGTACCAAAACAAACTAACAAACCACAAAGCGATCGTTAGATAGGCCGACTGAATTGCGCCCGCCAACGGCGTCAACGCATGTATCCTAAATGCATTTCTTTCAAATTCTCCGCAATCTACACGTTGACGTCGGTAACCAAATAGTAACCGTCCAGCGATTCGCTATGGGCTGCTGGCACTACGCCGATACAATAATTATAGGGCGCATTTATAATAATAGAAAAAAACCGTATTATTCCTATCGTACAGGTTGGGCTCGTCCGTAGTTAATTAAATTATTCGCTCACAAACTTTATTTATTGCATTTATTTGTATTTGACCCTTTTATTGTTAATAAATTTAGGCGTTAAATAAAATTACTGATTAAGTATATGGAAATAGTAATTTGGTGATGACTCCTGCCACTTCACAGGGAATTAGAGGTAAATTAGAGGTTTGCAGAGGTCGAACTTATAACTATTTCACCTCCATATTATTCAACCTAATTGGTTTTAATGTACTCTCTATATTTAACTGAATTACAAGAGTGTTTGAAGAAACAAATAGAAAAACTGTGGACACATCACTTAATATTATTTATTTAGAAATTATTTAGCAATACACGTAATAAATATATTAAAAAAAAGGAGAGTAAACAAAAAAATATATATATAATTTATCTAAATCTTATTAGATAACAAAATTACATCCAGAAATTGAGAAGGAATCGAATTTTTTCAATCAAAATCAAAGACAGAACGATACAGATCATACAAATAACGTCACGTTTAAGTCTTAACTCTATCTATAACCTCCCCTTCCTCTTCCACCGCCGCCTCTCTGATAGTTTGATCTACCACTACCTCTTCTTTCGTCCCGGTCGTCCCTTCGATCGTCTCTCGCATGGTATTGCTGATTTTGTTGCTTCTCTTGTACGTATTGATCAGCGTAGGTGGTTTTATTGGCTTGAAAAGAATCATAAATTTTAGCCCTTTTCGATTGTTGATAATCTTGCGAGCTATAACTCCCTCCACTGTCCCGTCTGCCGTCATTATAATTATTTCCCTTAGAGTCTCCGCTATTGTAACTTTTAGTGTAATTCCCCGAACTAGATTTACCTTGAAAGCTGTCATAACTTCTTCCACCACCTCCGCTTGGGGTACTAAAACTCCCGGCGCTGTCAAAACTCCTGTTGTCTCCATATCCTCCTCGGCTCTGATTGGATTGGTAACTGCCTCTTCCAGATTGGAAATTGCCACCTCCTGATTGGTAACCACCACCTCCGGATTGGTAACCACCGCCTCCAGATTGGTAATTACCTCCTCCTGATTGGTAATTAGAGAATTTGTTGTCTCTCGAATAATTATTGGCACCCTGAGAATTGTTCATGCCTCCTCTGGTATAATTGCCTCCTCCTCGATTGAAATTATCACTACCTCTGTTGAAATTGCCTCCCCCTCTATTGAAATTACCGCCTCCGCGACCTCCGCCGCCTCCAACTGATCTTTGTTGCCATGACGGCATTTCGGGAGGTGGAGGAGCTATTTCTGAAGTTCTACCGCCTCTATCTGGGACCTAAAACAGATCAAATGCACGAGCATAAAAGTTAGTAATAGCTATAAGCGTTAGTAGAAGCCATTAATAATTATCAAGACATTTTAAAGCGTAAGCGAAACTCACTTGTCCGATAATGACTTTATTCAGAGCCGATCTTGTATTTCTTCTGACAGAGGAGTTGCTAGTTTTTTCAATGATCGCGATCTCAGTTCTAGCAGCTAATAAATCGGATATATCAACGTCTGGTTCCACTTTCAACATTTTTCTCCTTTCGTAATACATCTTTTCGAAAACATCGTCCTTTCCTTTAGTTCTATGCGACCACTAAAACAATATTTTTATAAAACTCTTATCGGAAACGCGTTTTATGATTTTTCGCACCTGAAACGATTGTATGGTGACGTCGAGACGTGTCAGCAACATTTCTCTCCTTATTTTGTATTCCTTGTGCAAATCTTGTTGAACTCCTTCCAGTACTTCCCATTGTTTATTAGACAGAAACCCGTTGAATATTCCTTTACCAATGATATCAGCTCCTGCTTTTTTTACGACAATAGGAATGGTAGGTATAAGTTTTTGAAACAAAGTTGGTATAGAAATATTGGCAGGCGGTTTGGGAAAGCGAAGCGTTTGTAAAATTAATCTCATGTCTTTCCCCTCAGGCGTCTCTTGCTATAAAACAAATTAATTATGAGTTATTTTCTAGTTTAGAAGTGGTTTTCTACTATTACAATGTTGGGGAAATGAATAATAACACTTGGATCTTAGGGAAAAGGGTATGAATAGGAATTCAGTGTAGTGTAACGTTAGCTTTTGGCCCCACGTTTGGCGCCAAATGTTACGGGTGAACTTAAAGATCGTTCAGATGTCACAAAATGACTACTATAATATACTATTAACATGTCACAATATAATCCTAGTGACAATTGGGATATTCGACCGCGGATAACTTGAAATAGAGGAGGGAGGGTTCCAATAAATAGTAAGTAAATTCACTTGTAACAGTAGGGTGAGTAAAACGATGTATACATTGGTTTAATTTATTAAAAATTTGTTACTATTCCTGTAAAATAAAAAAAAATTGCACATCTTAATATCTTTATTACACAAACTTACAAGATTTCAATAAATGAGTTACTCCTTGGAAGATTGTGTATGAAGTGCATGAAGACATAAAAGTAATTTTAAAAACTGACTGCAAAACGTGCTGATGCCTTTGCAAATTGAAGTTTTATGGTTTTCCCATGGTTCCCTGATCAGATGTTGACCAAATTTATATAGGACCACCCCTGAGATACCCCCTTTCTAACAAAAGTCGTGAAAAAGGTTGATGGATGTTAAATTTTAATCTAGTATCATATGAGTGCAGGTCTTTATTTTTCTTAAATATATGTTCATTATCTTTTATGTATCAAATTAGTTGAAAAATAAAAAAAAAGGTTAATAATTGAAATCGTACACCGTGAAAAAGAATTATTGCTGAACATACAAAAAATATACTGACAAATTGAGAACCTTATACTTTTTTGAAGTCAGTTAAAAATAGTCGAGGGTCCACTTTAAATAAGTCAATTTGTGTATAGTTGTCAATACTGAGAAGATATACTATCAAATCGAACTCAAGTAATTGTAACAAATATTCTAAAATCTGATCCTCTTCCATGTACAATAGGAGTTCCCCAAGGTTCAATTTTGGGCCCACTTCTTTTTATAGTTTTTATAAGTGATATAAGTAATTTTTGTTTAAGCTCTTAACAAATAGTTCAATATGCCGATGATACCAATATTGTAATGGCAGATGATCAAATTGAACAGGTCACTCAAAGTAGCAACAAGGCATCCCGTGAGTTTAACCAGTATTGTAAAGATAACGGTCTGGCATTAAATGTAACAAAAACAAACTTCATGCAATTTTTACCCAAAAACATATTACCAGATTACGAACCCTACTTGCACGTTGACGGAAAAACTATTCAAGCGTTGATGACGTAAAATTTTTAGGAATAATATTAGATACCAAATTAAATTGGGAAGCTCATATAAAAATGGTAACTTCAAAATTAAGTACTTGTTGTTATATCAAAAATTTAAGGGAGACACTATCTTTTGATACTTTAAAACTATGCTATTTTGGTTTGGTTCATTCACCTCTACAATATGGGTTAATATTTTGGGACTCTTCACCATACTTTGAAAGAGCTTTTGTATCTCAATAGAAGGTTCTGAGAGCCATGTATAAGGTCACACCAACAACATCATGTAAAGAACTTTTCAAGAAAAAGCAAATTTTAACACTACCTTCCCTTTTTATTTTTCAACTAATTTTATACATAAAAGATAATGAACATATATTTAAGAAAAATAAAGACCTGCACTCATATGATACTAGATTAAAATTTAACATCCATCAACCTTTTTCACGACTACAAATAAGCCAGCATTCACCAAAATATATTGGGATTAAGTGTTACAATAAGTTCAGTAACATATTAGAAGATACTACAAGTTATCATCAAATTAGTCGTAATGATTTAAGAAAACATCTTAATGATTTTCTTGTAAATAATGTATTTTATAGTATAGAAGATTTTATGAACTTTTAAACTAATCTTAACATGAATTGTCTATTATATATATTTTATTTTTTAATATATTTTAATTAACACTTTTTTGACTAGTCTGATAGGATTTTACATTATGTACCTAGTGAAAGATGAATAAATTCTATTTCTATTTCAAGCTACAGAATAATAAAGATGATTAAGAAAAAATTGAAAAATTAATTTTTGATATTAATCAATTGAGAATACACATTTATTACACAGTTTAACCTAGCTATATTTATATCAAAGTTAAAATATTTCTAAATATAAAATTTCTTCTTCTGGATTCATAGAATATTTAAACTTCCTCCTCTGACCACAATAGTTACAACTTCCGTCAAATGAAAAAAAAATAATGTCTAGTTAGACATTCCAACAACCTGTTAAACAAGAGTTTCCAATGGGAATGGCTCATATATCTAAGGGGACTGTGACATAGCCTTCCCATCTTGGAAGCTATTTTTATTCAGAATAGTATTTTTAGGCAAAACTGAGGAACAAATACATAGCAATCCCAACAAATTTTGGGCATTTATAAATAATAAACAAGGTAGTTCCAAAATATAAGTATTAAATTTTCAAGGTCAAATGCCTTAATTTTTTTCTAAATTTGTGTTTTGTGGTATTAGCAAACTAGCTAAATAAAGAAATAATAAACTGGCATATCAAATTGTACTAACATGATTTAAGAATGTACAACTTTTTATAAAAAATCTTTATTGGGGATAATCCCAAAGGCTATCGACCGGAGTCCTTCTGTCCATGACTTTTTATAAACTTAGTGGGTCTTTTTTATGGTCAATATATATTATATAATTGTGTGGTTATTAAGCATTTCCCCAGCATATCATAACAATGATTTTGTTTGCAATAGTATTAATATTTTTTTAATTTAAATATGCCAAACTAGATTGTCTACTCACAAGCTTCAGTTCTATTTTTTTACTAGGTTTCTTTTCATGTAAAATTCGTGCTCCCATAAGTTCCGTCAGCAAATAATCCAGCAAGAGAAGTCTATCTGACACATGCTGTAATCTATCCGATACATGTCCCTCGGTTAGACATTTATAGGGACAATCTAAAAAATAAATTAATAAGTAATACAGTTTGTGTATGATTAAGAACAAGTAACACACTTAATTCTTTTAAAAACGATGTTACTTCCATAATGAAAGATACAGAATCTTCGGGAGTAGATATTTCATTGACCTCCTCATCAATTCCAGATAAGGTCCTAATTTCATTTGTTAGAAAATTAACTAGTTTTGTGTATTCGATATTTTTTGGCCCACCTTCCACTGCTATCGGAAAGTTTGGTTTTTGTAAGCAAGGACCATTATAACTAAAAGTAAAGTATTTGTTAAGATCTTTTTCTCCTGAAGGGATGTCATATTGGTACATACTGAAAATTGAGATTCTAAACGCTACTTACCCAATAGAATCCAAAGAAGCCAATATTTTTTCTTCCAATTTACTCATAGCTAGATTTAAAAAGTATTAATTAGCTTTATTTTAATTTATATTACGGATTTTTTTTAATAAAAATTCAGCACCCGGTTAATAACGCTGCTGAATTTGACACATGAAGTTGACATTTAAGTTTCTTTTGGAACCAGTGTTGCCAGAATATATTTTTGTAATGTACCAGATTACATAAAAATGTACTAGATTCTATAAAATTACCTGATTTTCTAATTGTGAAGGGTGGTCACACGGGGGTTTATATCATATGCACAATACGTAAACACGTTTCTGCGCATACTCCTCCGCGCTTGGGTGCTCTGAAGTCCGTTTTACAATAGCAAAATTGTATTAAAATGTAAAGCACATTGATTAATTTAATAACATCTCGTTCAGTAACACACAAAAAGTGTTGTTTCAAAAATTTTAATTCATATATTACAACAAACTAAAAAAAACATACCTTCACTTAGTTATTTGTACTATGTGAAGATGGCTTTCTGTCTGCTGCATGACTGCTGGCTGCCCGCTATAGCGGGCCCCGCGCGCGCTGTCAACAAATAACATCAAAATCAAACAAATGTGTGGTTATGTTATGATTTGGTTGTCGACGAAAACATGTGAGTGGAACTACTTTTATTTTTTTAGATATAAGTTATTTAGGATTATTTAAAATCAAGTAAAGGTATTTTGATGCTTTAACATGTCTTTACCAGGCAGAATTCATTATAAACGCATAATTTCTAATTGTTATAGTACATTTTATAAGGCCCATTCCAAACGTAAATTTTAAGAAGAAACATTTTTAAATTTCCTTCTGATATTGATCAAAGAACGGAATGGTGTCGTATTTTAAACATTCCACTTACAACCCCAATCATTATACATTATGTGAAAATTATATTTTGATACAAAATTGTTTACAAACACAAATCGTTCAAGACTGCTAAAAGATTTGCTTTACCTTGCTTTAGCATCCTCAAAACCAGATACACCAAAGATAGTAGTACTTAGTAATATTGTTATCACACCTCCAAACAGAGTCCTGTGTGGATAAAGTTCATTTTAATAATATATACAAAATTAATAAATGAAGCAGAATTTGAGTCAGGCCACTAGTTATGTTGCAGGGTTTATTAAGAAACTTAATAGTTTTGACTGCAAAGAGTGTAAAGTTAATTTACAGACATGTTAGAAGACCATCGATACTTTTACTTATTTTAAAGAAAATTATGATAAAAGACGTTTTATTTATGTACAAAGAAATGTTATTGAATTTCTTTCAAAAATTCTTGAAATAGTTTCACAACTTTTGGGTCATATTGACAACATAATTCAAATAATTAAACTTTTTTGCCAGACCATGTTGATTTTAAATGGTTTACATCAGAGGCGACTCGTGGCCTAGTCTATGAGGAGACTACTTTTAAAAGGCACACCCTATATACTTAATAAAAATATATGTCTATAAGAATTCAAAAAGCAGAAATATTACATTGTATTCTAATAGAAATATATATATTTGTATAAAGTATATAGGATGAGCCAGCTTCCTCACAGACTAGGCCACAAGCCGTCCCTGGTTTACATATAAAGAACATAAAACAGACGTCTTTTCTCATTTAGTTGAAACTTGTCTACTATTAATAATAAGAAAGTATTATAATGATAGTATGAGGGCTGCTGCAATGTCTAAAAGACAAACAAAATGATTTGAAGTTACTGCATTTAATTTTTTTCTGTTTCAGTTTATATGGATGGTTGCTTTTGTCTGATTTCCTAAGATTCAAGAAGAATTTGTTGTTTTGTTTTTTGTTTATTTTAAAAATTTATTTACTTAGGCATTAGTTTTCATATCAAGTAAATTAAATTTGTTATGCAATTTCTGATTTTTGTTAGCCAAAGATAGTTAACGTACGGAAATAGTAATGTAATGTTTGTGATATTAGAGTAACTTTCTTAAATAATCATTTATAAGACGTCCGGGAGCGCCATAGTAAATAATAATAATAATAGACATTCTTGCTTCGCATAAGCTCGCTTGTATGGGAGTGAAGTATATGAAAAATATTTTTTTGTATTGCCATCTCTTTGATATATTTTTTATTTATTTTTCTTGGGAATTTTTAGTAAATATAATTATATAAAACTTTGTATGATATTTATTTTATCCCTCATAATTATTTGTCATAGAATTTTACATTTTTATTGGGCATTTCATAATTGTTACAAACAGCTAATAAAACAGGAAAATTTTAATTATAATTAAGAGGAAAATTTACTTAAGCAATTATCTTTTTCTAAACAATACGAAATAGAGCCACAAATATTTCTATAGTTTAATTTTGCTTTTTAGTGAATGAAAAATATATACCTTCAGGTAAAAGTGAAATGTCTGTTTTTCTGGAGCCACTATTCCGAAATTTGATTTAATTATTTTCTCAATTTTTGAAATCTTTATAAAAACAAGATTTTGCGATTTATTGCCATCAAAATTTGAATAAATTTTGAAAAAGTGGCTCCAGAGGAACATATTTTAGCTACACGTACATGTTTTTTATTTCACTAAAAAATTAAAAAAATTACTATCAAAATTTTGTATGGCTATATTTCGTATTAGTTAGAAAATAATTGCAAAAGTAAATTCTCCTTTAAAAAAACCCGCCAAATTTCAAATTAAATATAAAATTACGGGTAACTGCATTACCGACAGAGTAAGAGTTGATGGTAATACTGCTGGTAACTACATTACCGACAGAGTAAGATTAGTTCTACTCCTCCACCCCACAGGTCGTTGCAAGCAAACATGTTGCCAAATTTCTACAAAGAAACGGCAACTCTTAATAATCCTTCCTCCATGGGTGGTCATTAAAGAGCAAAAAAAGGTTTATAGAGAACACGAAAACAACAATTTTAAACAATATTTTATCTCTCGACAAATTTCTGACACTATTTTATCTGTCGAGCAATTTTTGAAAAATATTTTAAGACCGATTCCACCGTTGTGTTAAACGGAGATTAAAATGACATTCTTAATGTAAAAATGTCATTTTAAACTTCCTTTAACACAACGGTGGAATCGGTCCTTAATAAGTTATAATACTATTTTATCTATCGAACAGTTTATAAACCTTTTTTTATCTCTTGAGCTATTTTTAAACAATATTTTATCTCTCGATAAATTTCAAACAGTATTCTATCTCTCGAGCAATTTTTAACAACTTTTTTATCCCTCGAGCAATGTTTTTACAATATTTTTGTACAATTTTTAACACTATATTTAATCACTCGAGCAATTTTAAACAGCCTTTTTACCTCTTAAGCTATTTTTGAACAATATTTGATCTTTCGTGCAATTTTTGAGCAAAATTTTAATAATTTTTAACACTATTTTATCTCTCGAGCAATTTTTAATAACATTTTTTATCTTTCTAGCAATTTTTAAACAATGTTTTATCTCTCGAGAAATGTTTAACAGTATTTTTTAATTCTAGAGTTATTTTTGAACAAGATTTTAACAATTTACAATACTTATTTTATCTCTCGAACAATTTTTAAACCTTTTTTAGCTATTTTTAACGATATTTTATCTATAGATAAATTTCTAACATTACCTATTCTATCTCTCCAGGAATGTTTAACAAATTTTTTTTATCTTTTGAGCAAGCTGCACAATATTTTAACTCTCGACAAATTTATAACAATATTTTAACTCTCGATAAATTTTTAACAATGTTTTATGTCTCTAGCGATTTTTAACAACTTTTTTTATCTCTCGAGCAATGTTTGTACAATATTTTATCTCTCGAGCAATTTCTAGTAGTATTTTATCGTTCGAGGAATTTTTAAACAATGTTTTATCTCTCGAGAAATGTCTAACAGTATCTCTCGAGTCAATTTTAAACAATATTTTATTTCTCAACAAAATTTTCAACAGTATTTTATCCTTGAGTATTTTTTAAACAACGTTGTAACACTTTGAATACTACTTTACCTCGAGCAATTTTTGAATACGATTTTATCAATTTATAATACTATTTAATCTCTCGAACAATTTTTAATTATCTGTCATTAAATTTTTAACAGTATTTTTATCTCTAAAGCAATTTATGAACAATATTTTACCCCTCAAGCAATTTCTAATTTTATCCTTCGACCAATTTTTAACACCGTTTTTTACCTCTTAAGCTATTTTTGAACAAGGTTTTATCTCTCGATAAATGTCTACTATTTTATCTCTGAAGCAATTTTTAACAATTATTTCAATTTCTCTGGCAATTTTGGAACAATATATTTTACACTTCAAATGGAACATACGCTGAAAAAAGTACTAGATTTTGCCTCGAGTGTACTAGAGTACCAGATTCTTAAATAATGTACTAGATATAGTACAATTGTACTAGACTGGCAACACTGGTTGAAACTCAGATTAATGGCCTCTAACGTCAATGATATTTGGACACAAATTTGAAAAAAAAAATCAAAATTTTATATCAAATTTATTTCAAAATTGTCTATTTATACATAATTTTAGGTACAAAATTTGTTAACAATAATCTAAATTACACGTTATTTATAATCGATTAATTTCCAGCATAATTATTATAAAATTCGTGCACATAGTTTCTCGTAATTTTCCACAAAGCTTGTGAAACATCTAAAAATTGTTTCCACCAAACTTGAGAGACAACTAAAAATTCTTTCCGCCAAACTTCAGAAACAATTAAAAATTCTTTCCACCAAACTTTTGAAACAATCAAAAATTCTTTCCACCAAACTTGAGAAACACTTAAAACTTTAAAATAATCATCAATGACCATGGCTCTAGCAGAACTAATTATATCTTCTGCATTTTTAACTTTGATAAAAACATAAGATAAGTATACACTCAATACTAGGAAGAAAAGTTTTAACACACTGGCAAAGAATGATCTCGATTTCTTCTCTACCTTGACATCTTTAGATTTGACTATGTTAACTTTTTCTACATCAGCTTTCTTGGGTTCTGAAGATTTTGGTGTGTTTTTCTTTTCTTTGTGCTTCTGTTTTTTCATCTCCTTTTTCTCCTCCTGTTTCTTCTTTTGATTGAATTCCAACTGCTTCTGCCTGTCCCTGTTTCTCATTTCCAATTCTGCAGCTACTTGACTCTCAAGTCTAGAATAAAAATCTATGATGTTCTTAGCACAAGTCTGGCAAGCTTTAGTATCAATACATAGACCTGCTACTTTAGATACAGCTGGAACCAGAGGATTATCTTTTAAATCCAACCATTTCAGACTTTTCAATTTGCTAAAACTCAATGGTAACTGTTGAAGTTGATTGCGATAAAGGTCCAAATGTCGCAATTTAATCAGATTTCCAAAATCTTCTGGTAGTTCCTTTAACCCGTTTCTACTCAAATCTAACACACTAAGGCTAGTTAAAGTTGAAAACGACTTAGGAAGCCTTGTTAAACTATTATTAGATAAGTCCAAACTGTATACCCGTTTTAATGTTAATATTTCTTTCACTGGCACATCATTTAAATCTGACATACTCAGATCTATTTCACCATCATTGAATCTTTCTTTTACGTTTACTTTTGGTGCCATGTTCACAGATGGTAGATTATTTAACTTATGAAATAGTTGAAATACTGTAAACTGTAGTGTAGACAGACACGTAAGCAAATATATAAAACAAGAGGTGTGAATGATAAATTCTACCGGTTGGCTTTTCCTGCTTATTCGACAATGTAAAAGGTTCAATTACACTTTATGTCGTATATTGTAAAAGACAAGATTCTTCTTATTAAAATAACGTCGATTTAATTTGGCAACAGGTAAATATTCTAAGTTCACTATATCGTACAAAGTAGAAGACATATTTTTTAATAAAGAAATGGTCTTTTGCCTATCAATCAACAGTTATTGAAAAAGTCGCTGCGTAAGTTTTAAGGTAGCAGGACAATATTAAGAAAATTTTCCCGCCAATTTATTTATTTATTTATTTGTGTAGTAATGTGTAGGTGCATAATATAAAATTATCTACAGAAACAAAATACATTTTATACACAATGGATAAAACAGTGGTTAACAAAAAAGAGTGAGTAAGTTCATCTGTTGATGGTTTTATTTTAAATTCAATAAATATTTTAGGAGAACTTTAGAAGATATCAAAGGAATATTATCCTTAGCAAAACTAAATATTGACGATCTCAAACCTACGTCCCAAGCATTGTATTTCACGCCAGAAAATTTACACGAGCACGATTATAAACTATTACAATTAGATCCTTACTTACTACAAGAAATTACAGAAGGTTCAAAACTATGTTTTAAAGGAGAACAACATGAAGAAGTGGTCATCTGTTCCGATACTCGTACTTTTCATGTTGTAGAAGCCGAAACATCAAATAGTTTATTACTTACAACCGGTTTAAAATTCTGTAAAGATTTGGACGATTCTAAATCTAATATACAAAAAGTAACAGTAAGAGCTATATTTTATGATTACTTAGAAGCTACAGTGGGTAAACCAAATTTAAAAAAAATAGATGATTTATTAAAAAAATCATTATATTGTGGACCGGAAAATGAATACAAAATAAACAAAGGCAATTTAATAACTCGACAACAGTTATGTGAAAATGTACAAGCTTCACATAAAGAAATAAACAATGCTTTAGAATCAATGACTGTGATAGAAATTGACAATAAAATTAGACTTTTAGACATTGAATATCACTTTAGAGTACTATCTTATATGCTTAAATTAATAGATGAAAATTCTTGGGAACTAGATGAAGTGGATTTCAAAGAAACTGTTGATTCTTTACAAAATTTAGCTCCTAAAGAAGTACTATCTAATTTATTCGATAAATATGCAGAGGAATCCAAAGAAATTGATGGAATTCCGTTATATAGATACAAAGAAGATGTAGTTTGCAAATTTTTTGCTCAAGTTTTGCTGCACGATACTGGAAAGTTTAATTTAGATGAATTTTTGCAAGCTTGGAAGGAGTCTGTGCCTGAGGGAATGGTACCAGACGAAGAAATGCTTTATGGCATCGCTATCATTGATAGGAAGTCTGTTCCAAATGTAATTTGGGCTTTTGATGAGAACAATTTGCCTGAAAATATCAATGAGAGGTTTAAAATTTTGTTCGAGGCTAAAACAAAGTGGACCATTCCAGAAATATCTCCTTATATAAAGTAAATATAAATTTGTAGTTAGAATTTTCCAACTTATAACTCAGAAAATCCATTTTTCTGACTTACAACTCGGAAAACTGGATTATTCTGACTTGAAGCTTGGAAAAATAGATTATTCCAACTAAGAACTCATAAAAGTAGATTATTCCTACTTAGAACTCAGAAAAATCGATTTTTCTGACTTACAACTCTGAAAAATAGATTTTTTTTTACTTAAAGCTAGGAAACATAGATTATTGTGACATATAGAACTCTGAAAAATAAATTTTTCTGACTTAGCAACTAGGAAAAATAGATTATTATAACTTATTGTAACTCGGAAAAATTGATTATTTTGACTTAGAACTCAGAAAAATAGATTATGGTCCTATGTGGGTATGTGCAAAATTACTGTAAAGTAAAAGTTCCGATCAACTTGCAGTTTTAAGTTTACTATAATAATTTCTTCAAGCCAAGAACCCAATTGATTTTCAGAATTTTTGGTTTAAGTACTTTAATGTAATGTATTTCTTATGGAGCTTATTCTATGCATTGCAGAGTTCAAACACCCTGTATATGTGTTTCCTGGCAAAGTTCCAAGTCAGATAAATCGCTTTTTCGGAGTTCTAAATCAGAAAAAAATAATTTTTCCGTGTTCCAAGTAAGAAAAATAAGAAATATATATTTTGTGGCCTTTGTAATTTTTTATTATTTCAGGAGATTAGCAACAGATAAACTTGATGTAAATGCTTTGTTGGCCAAATATGCTCGTGCTTCCAAAGTAGATGGTGTCAAATTTTATTCTTCAAAGCACGGAAAATGAATTTTGCATTAAATATATTGAAACGATTAAATTGTTTTTAAAATAAACTAATTGATTTTTAACAAAATGCCCATTTTTCTTTTTAATGTGATTTGTGGTGCATTTTTTTAAAGCTATTGCATAGCTTTTATCGCGGGCTTTGAGCGCGGCGACCGAATCAAGAAATTCCGTAACGAAAATAAACCTAACACATGTAACACCCCCACTTCGACCGGCACAGCGGTGCGGTGTTGAACGCCGTGGAAGGTTTTATTCAACCCTATTTGTATTAGTATGAAGCGGAGTTAAATATACGTATACGTCTGTGGACTGAAACGTTTATGCAATACAAGAACCATAAGAGCTTTCTCTGGCTTCTAATAAATTGGTATCACAAATGTTCCCAGCTGGCGTAAATATTAGATATTAATTTTTTTTGCAAGATTTATAAAATATTAATTTTTATTTTATCAGTGTTAACTATTTCATTATTAAGCTATTGCATAGATTTGAGCGCGGCGACCGAATCAAGAAATTCCGTAACGAAAATAAACCTAACACCCCTCACTCCGACCGGCACAGCGGTGCGGCGTTGAAAGCTGTGCATCGTCTAACGTCGTTTCAGTTCGGCAGACTTCGGCACGGTGTTTGTGTGCGTGCGACTAGACGTATGCGTGTAGACTAGCTGCTCCATAATTTCGGAAAAATTGAATTTGAAAATGAATATAATGATCCACAACAAAATATGGGACCATCATTGACGCGGTATTTTCCAGATATTTAGAGGATATCAAGTCTCAAACTTATGTTTCTTATTTCAGTTACCATAAACCTATAGTTTTAATAATAAAAATTCCTGAATAACCTACATGTAAGATAATACAAATATTTTAAACAATATTAACTTCTCATTTATTCAATAAAAGAAAAAAAATTGTTTTCTTATCGGTCACCACGCTCAAAAAGTGTAACTTGAATTAATGCTGTGCAATACATAGATAATTTAATATTAAAAGATAAACCGTTTAAATGCACGGCACTGGTAACAAGTGGTAGTTCCCAGCCATACTACTTGGAGCCACCGTCGCACGCTACACATTTGGCTGATTAACTTAACAGTTAGAGCAACATAAAAGAAGAAAATTAAAAAGAAGAATGTCAAGCCTAAACGCGGCTCATTCAAATGTCGTTTATTATTTATTTACATTTTTTATTTTTTGGCATTCATTACTTTAAAAAAACTAATATTTACATTAAAATACTGTATTTAACATAAATATTAGTTTTTTAAGTAATAAAACTCCAAAAAATATAAATGAAAATATTTGAAACAATAGGTATATACGTATAGTTTAATCATTTAATAAAAGTAAGGTGCATTTAAACATTTATTACATACAGAACATGTACAAATAACAACTGTAAGTGGAATTAATAGTATTCTCCTCTCGTTCTTGGAAAACTGGACCAAATTTTGATGCAGGTGTCAGGGGTTTCCTATAAAAACAAAAAAGTGTACATACTTACATCTTATTAAACAATTTTTCTTATCAAAATGTTGCCCTTTCTTATAAAAAAAAAATATTTTTAATTTGTCTAAAATTAGTTTATAGAAAAAACTTTCAGTTTATTTCTCATAGTGCAATGGTCGATTTGAATTATATTTTAACTAATCTGTTCTAGTTGATCTAACAAATTTGAGTTTGAAAATTACTTTTCATTTTTAACAGAGGGTTGTTCAAATTGTTTATCACTAATACTAAGTTTACATTTGCAAATAATTTCTTGTTTTTCGTTGCAGATTAGCAAATCTATCTTATGCTACTGTGTATGTGCTTCAGCCTCAACATTTTCTAAAAATCTGACTGTTTGGGTTGAGTATTAAGTATAGTTGAACTGGATGTAGGTACTATTAGCTAATAAAATTGGTACAGAATTTGCAATTAGTCGTTTATGTTTTGAAGCAATTTTACTAAAAGAATCTGGCCAAAAATGATCTTCAAAAAGATAGCGAATTTTATTATCTAAAGATAAAGTAAATTCTTAAAACAGTTTTCACGAATTTTAATATCGGAAGGATAATGAAAAAAGGTTTTATTTGAATAACCAGCCTGCTGAATATTAGAATAATACTTATTTAAATTAAGGGGCTGAAAAAGATTACTTAATTTTACCAGGGCCAGACATGTTTTGTTACAAATAGGTATATTAAAAAAGAATTGAAAATCGATCCAAAATGAAATTATACTTCGTTAAGGCTATAAGAAAACAATGATAAACAAAGTCCTTAAACAAATCTAACACCTTATTAAATTATATTGTTAATACTTACTAATTTCATCAAATCAGCACTTATCAATCTTCTTAACCTAATAATAACTTACCTATCGAAGGATAATTATATCCACAACATCATAATAACTTTTATTTTATGACGGTTTTTGTGCATTTTTCGACTATTTCGCCTTCCGCCATTCCGTTCTTTATTTTTAACCATGGAGGAAAGATTTTTAACGAGGTTATCAACACAGTTGCCAAACCTCTCTTTAAAATATCTCAGCAATAGTATGGCCATTGTATGGATAGGTCTGTTCTGGTTTTGAGAAATAACGATCCACAACTGTCGGGCTCATGCGCAGTAGATAAAAAGTGTTCTGGTTTTTCTGGGACTACTTCGGATCTCTCAGTCCAGTGTTCTGGTTTCGTATCCGAAATAATCCGTGATTGTTGTAAAGAGTCAAAAAGTGTTCATGCTTGGGAGTGTGGATCGACTCGGACTGTTTTGACCGCGCATGCGTTTTTGAAGTGTTATGAATATTGTATTGGCTTTTTAGACCATACGAAACGTATACAATCCCAAATTGTTTATTTATATGTGGACGAATGTCTCTTGTTCTTGTTTTATTTGTAAATTAAAGCAATTTTAGAATTATTAATTTTTTAATATTCTGTTTTTATTTATTCCATTGCAATGTGATGATAATGATAAACATATACATGCAAATGTTATTTGAAGCTGAGCTTTCAAAAGGAACTTCATTATTATAATAAACAATAAACAAAACACCTTTATGACGTGTTCTGGTTTTCCAACAATTTCAAACAGTCGGGGATTTTTTGCCTTTACGCATACGGTCCGGCGCAGTTTCAAAACAGTTTTGATTTTGAGAACCAGAACAAACCTGATGATATATCGAGCACGACAAAAACAAAATAAGGTGCAGCTTATGCGTTTGAATTAACTCTAATCTCATGAAACTTTATGGAAACTGACAACATCGCTGTCATCTTAATTGCGACGGTGGCTCCAAGTAGTATGGCTGGGAACTACCACTTGTTACCAGTGCCGTGCATTTAAACGGTTTATCTTTTAATATTAATTTATCTATGGTGCAATAGCTTTACCGCGGCAGTCCCCGAGTGTCACACGTATTTTTTTTTTCACAGAACACTTCTTTTTTATTAGTTAAGTTAAATAAGAGGGCTACTTAACTACGAACATCAAAGGCCATGACAATACTATGTGTCAAGTCAAAAGTCAAAATAATCAACATCAACATATCACGCCCTGCACTGACTAATTCTAATGTTATTTAATTAAAAAGAAAATAATAGTGCTCTTAAACATGAGTGCCTTATTTTACATTTTCAGCATTCTAGTAATAATTACATTTATAAATAAAAGTAAGTACTTATTCGTAAATAAGTAATAGAAACTATAATAAAACTTTCCAGGTGAGGCTGTAAGATGTTTCCAATGTAGTTCAGACGAGGATGGGCCCTATGAAGACAACTGTGGAGCTTACCGAAAGTTCAGTAAGCTTAGTCACATAGCTATAGATTGTGCCAGCGATGAAAGTCATATGCCAGGTTCTTTCTGCATGAAAGTAACTCAACAAAGTCCCAGAGGGTTTATTTGTAAGTAAAATATTTTTAAATAGTTTATTTATGCTATAAGTCCGTTTTAATAAATTTTAGGGGACGGTAGGTGGAGGCAGGTTATCAGAAGATGTGCCTCAGTAGCAGACACTGGTGTTACAGGTGTTTGTAACTGGGGTGTTTATGAAAATGGTATATATTGGGAGGAATGTTATTGTTCCGAGGACGAATGTAATAATGCTAGCATTAAAAGTTTATCAACCATTTTAATTGTAAGCTTTGTTAGCTTATTGGCATTAAGGGTTTTGTGAAATTAATTTAATTAAAGTTATTTGGTTTTATTTTGACAAACTAGCATAGAACCAATATGGCTAGACTTATCTGCTGAAAATGACAAAAATGTGTGTGCAAACACGAAATTAATTAGCACATTCCATGTAAATTTATTATGAACATTTTTAATTTTAAACTGTTAAATTATTTATCGTGTGTGGGCAAAGGAGTATAAGTCAAATTTTTGGATAAATTAGTTTTATCTATACTTAGTTTAAAAGTCCTCTACTGATTGGTCTAAGTCAATACTTTCTATTAGTTTCGATTGAACTTTGACTTCATAATATGAATTACAAAAATACCTTTTTTGGTGGGAAAAAAGTATGTCGACTAAATTTTTGACTTGTACTTCTTTGCATATCCAAGATAGATATAGTATGTGCCTTTTCAAACAATCAGTTTGATTTTCTACAAATTTTTATACAATTTAGACATAAGGAACTAGGTAAATCTCAGAACTGTAATTATTTAGGAAGCATACTTATAGATTTTTATTTTAAAAGATATTTCTATTCCAATTTGTATGTTAATCCGTCCATTTTTTTAATATTCTGAACTGTTATGTTTTTATACTTTCTTTTTAATTAAAAATTATTTTACAAAATGTAATCTTTAATTTTCTAGTCTTTAGTTTTAGGAAAAAAATAATTTAAAAGTAACACAATATATTTATTGAATTATCACAAAACTTTTAAAATATAACAACTATAAATCTAGATTGCCTACAAAGTCTTTATATTTTGTTAGAGAAGCTATCAGACCATTTTCATTAACAACATCAACATCATTGCTATAATCTAATTCATTACCATATTTGTTTAACATTTTACCACCTAGGGCATTTAAAACAGCATTTCCAGCACATACATCCCATTTTTTTATAGCAGTTATGTGCAAATAAGCATCAACTTGATGCTTTGCCACTTCCAGAGCTTTATACCCTAAAAAAGTTCAAATATACAAAACTACATTTAAAATGGGTAATTAAATAAAAATGACTTACCAGCTCCAGCTGCGGATATAATAGCAACCTTTTTGTCAAATTTCTTTTGAAGAATTTTTTCAATATCACCTTTATGGGAACGAGATACAATTACTTTGAGATTATCATTAGATGCTTTTTCCTGAAACAACACATTTATGCTGTAATGCACTTTAGAGAGATTTTAGAAATTATATACCTCAAACTTATCTAAGTCTTCCGATTTGCTTACACCAACCCAAGCCCATGAAGTAATTTTTTCAAAAGGTTTATGAATAACCCCAATAATCGGTTTACCTTTAACTGCTACGCATACCATTGTAGTAACATATTGATACAGTTTTTCTGCAATAAAAAAATTATTACTTCAAAATAATTGATTTAGTTAAAGTATGTTTTACCAGTATACTCATGAGTAGCATCCAACGGATCTATCCAAACAGTTACATCATCTTTATTAACAAATTGTTCATTATCGTCAGAAACAAAATCTACAGTATCATATTCAGGAGTCTCTTCCTCACAATGCTTAACAGCTTCTTCCGAGATCAACTTAATGGATGGAAAAAAGTGTTTGATAGTGCTAGTCATCGAACAATGGGATAATACATCAGCATTGGTTACACTATCTTGCAAACCTTCCTTCGTTTTTCCTTTACTTTTAACATTCATGTGGTCTTTATTCTCTACTACCCTCTTGCCCCCATTTTCAGCCGCTTTGATCGCTACACTTAGTAGAGTGCGAAGATTAAATTTATTTGCTTCTGAACGGTCGTCGCTGGCCTTTTTTGAGAGTAGATGTAGAGAATATACGATGAATATACATAGTATCACGAATATTCCGTATTTATTTAAACGTACAGTGCCACCGAAATTCATCATTTCAGCTATTTTTCATATTTGCTTACACCACATTAAAAATAATACAGTGCCAGGTAGGCAATGTCATTCTATAATTGACACTAGGATTAGTGAAATAGAAACTTAGATGTGTAATAGTTTTTATATTATATTACCTCAATCAGTTTTGTTTGTAATAAATAATACATTTTTTATTATAATTTCCAATTTCCCTTCTATTGAAAATTGAATTTCTTCTAATTTGTATGCCTTTAACAACTAGTGAAACAGACAGACAACTACTTCTGTATCAATAGGTCTTTGTCTAAAAACTTAAACAGTTAACTTGTTTTATTTGTTTACCTCTTATAATAATAACATTCAGCTCTTTCTTCTACTTTGTCTAACCTCTTTTAGAAGCCTAACCAGCAATTCTTCTGTTTTATTTAGCCTGAGTCATCAAGCATGTGAATCAAGTTGTCATTGCCAACATCGGAACACAAAATACCCTAGGATTATAACCTAGTGTAAACTTTGTTGACATTCGATAAATACAATCTACAAAATTAACACAAATATGCCTTCAAAAAAGAAAAAATATAACGCGAGATTTCCAGCTGTAAGTAAATTTTTCTGTGCCATAATTTAAATAATATTTTTTTCTGAATTTCAGGGTAGAATAAAAAAAATTATGCAAACAGATGAAGAAGTTGGAAAAGTGGCACAAGCAGTACCAGTTATAATCTATATCCTTTATTACAGTCATAAACAATTTAGATATATTTAATTCATATCGAATATGAGTACGGTTTTTGAATAATTGTTTTTATGCATAATTTGAAATGCCACCAGTTATGATAACATACTGATAGTAAATGGTTTGATTGTGTAATTGTTCAGTTCAACAAAATGCCTGTTTCATAATCCTTTTAAAAAGATTATTAATAAAAAAATAAGTAAGTACACTAATTTCATATAAAAAAATGATTTGATGCATAAATAGTATAACTTTGGTTCAGATTATTTTAACTAATCAGTTACAGTATTAGAGGCTATACCATCCAAATGAAAATAATTTTAAAAGAATATTTTACTGCAGTAAACAAGTTTTTTTAATAAAATTTAAGTTTGTTGGCCCAATACTTAAATAAAATCCATTCAGGTTACAAAACCTATCAACCTGTTATATCTATTTTACTGTAGTTTACCTTGTATATTGTCATTCATGATTTTTTGTAATTCACATTTTTAATGGACTCATTCAAATAATAGTATATAGGGGTAAGCTTAGTTAAAAAAAATAACCAATGCATAGTTAATATATTTTAAAAGTTGCTCAACTTCTTAACCAATAATTATTGCTTTAGTTTCTACAGCTTTGCCAAGATTCTAGCTTCATTCATTTGGAGTTAATTTAACTGTGCAAGTTTGCAAAACTACTGTATTTCCAGTTTTAATAATATGGCAACATTTCAAAGTAGAGCCTGTTTCCATTAGAACATGTCTCGATCCACCTTAGCCCATAAATTCTAATGTTCATTAATTGTAAACACAGTGTTGGTTACAGAACAGGCGAACCCAGTCAACCAAAATTATAAGATAAACATATTTTAAAATATTCTGATGTGCCTAACATTAGTGGTAATTATCTAATTCAATATGATTTTAACATAAATTGTAATTCTGTAAAAATAAAATTAACCCATATGTTAAATTTTCAAACAAATAAAGGTATGTTAAAAGTAATTCAAATTTGCAATAAAAGTATGGTTAAGTTTTAAGGTCTGTCAAATAAATGTCATTCCTTTTGTCATATTTATTGTATCTGTCTGTTTTTTCACAAATATTGAAAAAGAAAGGGCGGAATGTACTTTATAAACTATTTGGTAGGCCATCAATTTTTAATAGAAACAAAACTAACCCCAGTAACATTTATAATAGTGCCCTTCTACGGCAAATCAATTACTAACTACAAAAAGTTTATATACACTATAAATAAAATATAATTTCTAAATAGAATTTGTGTAATTTCAACTTGAATACTTTCAAAATGGTTTATTTACATCATTTTCTTGTATTATAAGATGAATTAAACAATCAAAAATCATAATTTCTTATATGTTAAGTTTTAAAGCCTACTATTAGTACCTGTTAATATCCTCGAGTTAACACATACATATTTACAATATTTTAAAAATGTTAAAAAATGTATAAACATATAAGACCTATTAGCCTTGTCAACACATACAATTTTAAAATGTAGACATGCTACAATTGAGTTTAAAATAAAGTACAAATTAAAAATAGTATACAATAGGGCAAAAATATTAGACAATAATTATAATAAAGAGATACCATTAAGGATCACCTAGTATCATTTATAAATTCTGCATAGGAGTAATATGTTTTGGACGAATGATATGCATTATAAAGCTTATTTTTGAATACATTAAAGATTTTTTCATTACCATTGACTTGAGTATATGTATTAAAACATGCAACACCTCTGTAGATTTCGGAATTCTGTCCAACTGAGAGTCTAGAGAAAGACTGCTGTAGATATTTGTGATAGTGTGTGTTATAATTGTGTGAGTGTCTATAATCTGATAGTTGGGGTTCCTGTTTTTTTATATTAAGTATTAGTAAGTATATATACAAAGATGGAAGTGTTAGGATTTTAAAGTCATGAAAAAGTTGTTTGCAGCTAGTTGTTCTTGAAACCCCAGCCATGCATCTTATAACATTTTTTTGTACACAGAAGGCTCGCTCCAGATGAGCTGAGCAGCCCCAAAAAATTAGACCGTATGAGATAATTGATTCAACCAAACCAAAATATGTTAATTTTAAAACATCGAGATTTACAGTGTTTTTTAACTGCCTCAATAGAAAACATACACTACTTAGTTTATTTGATACATGATCTACATGGTTCTCCCACGTTAACTTGCTGTCCAGAATTAGACATTAGTAATTAGTCATTAATAAAAACTAAAAATAATACAGGACCCAATATTGAGCCCTGCGGTACTCCCGTTGTCACATTTCGACTATTTGATTTATTGCATCCGATGGTTACAACTTGTTCATGGTTGTTTAAATATGACTGTATCCACTTATTTGGCGGGCCCCTTATACCTGTTCGGTACAATTTATCTACTAGCAGTCGATAGTCAATTTAATATTTAATTCCTTGTTATTTAAAGATGAGTAAACAAAATCGCATAACTCCCCTATAGCACTAGATTTTGACTTATTTCTGCGAAAACCATGTTGAAATTTACTCAAAAGTCTATTATGTTCTAGAAATTTAATGAACCTGTTATTGGGGTCTATTCTGTAACAATTCCTTTACATTTAACGGCCTTTAAAAATATTTTCGTATTCGTTAATTTACTTCTGTCATTATTGAAACAGATTTCTTTAAGATAGTCCTCTAATGTATTTTAAAGATCCGTTTAAATAATGACAGAAGTAAAGAAGAAAATATTTTTAAAGGCCGTTAAATATAAAGGAATTGTTACAGAATAGACCCCATTATAGGTAATTTCGAATACTTTAGCCAGTTGACTTTGAATGCAGATGTTCCTATAGTTTGCCATGTCATTTATATACCCTTTATTTTTATATATAGGAATGGATTTTGATTTTTTTAATATGTTAGGATAATCACCACATAAAAAAGACTCATTTATAAGATAGGACACAGGTACACTAATATCTTCACAATAAAATACAATATTGTTCCATCTATTTCATCTATACCGGCAGATTTTTTATAAGTTGTTTTCTGTATAATTTCTGTTATTTCCTTTGGGGTAATTGGAGTTAAAAATAGAGTGCTTATAGAAAAATCTTGAAGTCTTGCTTCACTATAATTTGGTAGAAGATAGTCTACATCAGTAAACTGATTATTAAAAGCATTACATATATTTTGTACACCAAAAATGTTGTTGCCTTGACAATTTAGCATTTCGATGGGTAATTTTTTTATTGATTTTCCTTTTGCGTCAGTTTCAATTCTCCAACATTCTTTTGTTGAATTTTTTGCATTAATTACCCTTTTATTATTATAGGAAAGTTTTGCTGATTTGACTTTATTATCATAAATTATTTTCAGTTTTTTATATCATTATTACTAGTTATGTATATACTATGTAATTTACACACCATCTCATGCAGTGCACTTAGTTCCGCGTTATAAAAATTATTTTTGTGTCGTTTGGGTTTAACTTTTTTAAATGTAAAAGCGTTGTTGAAATAGTACAAAAAAGTCGAATAAAAGCTGTTAAATTTGTTATTGAACTCAGATGAGTTATACATGACAAGATAAGCTTGTTACTGTCATTTAAATCTCTAATAAAAGATTGTGTAGTTTCTACCTGATTTGTTATTTGCAAGTTGAATTCACAGAGTTGTAGTGAATGGTCTAATAGGAAACTATTTTGAACAGTAACATTTATGTTAAATTTTTAACATATTTTTGCTTATAGACTAGATTTTTGCGGCACAAATGAACTATTATGTTAATTATGACAAGTTAAAATTTTTCATGAATTTACAGAATTGCTTTTCATATTTAACATGCGTTATATTTTTAACGTCTGTTAAATTTTAACATATTCGTTATAGAATTACCACTATTGGCTATTTCAATTATGTCATAAAAAAGGGGGCAATACGAAACTATCACCATCGAGGGTTTTTATTACATGGAATCATTCAAATGGTCAATAAAATTAAAAGAAAACTATGGAATGCTATTAAATTAGAGGGTGGAAATTGGATATAGGGATAAATATGCAAATCTTACAGTTTTTTAATTAAATCTTGAAAACGAGGCAAAATTCAAGCATAGTTAATAGGTTTTTTTTTGTACAGAATGCGATTTCCCATTTGAAACATTACAATTTTTTATATGCAAAAACTATTAATTAATTCATTAATGCTTTTTTGCGGTTTTTGAGCAGAGATAGATATAAACATTGCTTCATATAAAAAAAGTATACTAAATGTTCTTTTAAATGATAATGGGTTAACAACTGAGATATAGCCGCTAAAACTTAGCTATTTTTTTATAACGTTTACGTTTTTAATTCTTAACAAAATTGATTACTATTCAATAAAAAAATACCTATTTTAAGTTAAAAATCATTACCATTAAATAATGAAAGAGCAAAAACACACAATGTTGAAATTAAAAATTAAATTTTGTTGGTTTTAATAAAAGCAGTTAATTTTTTTAAAACTTTCTAATGAATCACACTTTCTTTATGACACATTATATTCTTGAAAACCTTTCAAAAATAAATATATCTTGGAATTAGAATAATTAACTCTTAATGTAAATATTATTATTATAATATCTTGTGTTGTAATCAGTAATCATGAATAATAAATTGTTGAAAGTACAGTAAGGCTAAAGATTGAATTATTTTGCAAGTAAACATTGTAAAATAATACAATCTGTGATTTATTGAACACCATTCAAGAAAATTTAACATTGTGGCAACTGGTGTAAGACGGTTTAATTTTAATATGCACATTCCACGGTTTTTTTAGTTTTAGAAGTTGATTAAATTCGTTAAGGTTAATTTTGAGTGCCATATAGCCATGTTGAGAACACTCAATCATAGCCAACATAAATTTGTTATCGAAGATTAAGGAAATCCATACATTTAGGAGCGTAACAATACATTTCGATTTATATTTAACCTTCCTAGTTTATTAGCATCTTTTTTTAATGTAT